CTACAGTAGCGTGTCAGTCAACGCCCCAGGTCAGTCAACGCCCCACCCCACCAACACAACAACACAACTTCAACGCGTCATAACTCCACCAATATGGATCCGATTCAAGAAGCGATTGAATATATCGAATCGCGCGAGCCAGGAGATGATTTCTCGTATAACAAAGTTGCTGCCCAGTTTGGTGTTGAGCGCAGTACGCTCGCCCGAAGACACCAGGGTGTGCAGGAGCGGAAGGGCGTCTCCCATCGATCCCTACACCCAGAACACGAAGCCGAGCTTGTACGATATATCGAAACGCTTACCGAGAGACGTTTGCCACCTACAAAAGTCATGATACAGCAGTTTGCCAGCCAGTTGGCTGGCAAACCGGTCTCCGAAAGCTGGGTTGCCCGGTTCCTCCGCCGTCATCCCAACCATCTCATCTCTCGCTCGGGCAAAGCTATGGCCAAGGAGCGTACAAAAGCTGATTCAGGGGCAAAGTACAGCTTGTATTTCAAGCTGTTACACGAAAAGATGGAGGAGTACAACGTCCAACCGATACATATATTCAATATGGACGAAAAGGGGTTTCAACTTGGCCGGGTTGGTAGAACAAATCGTGTATTCAATAAGAAGCTTTACGAGTCAAAAGGGGTAAGGCAAGCACTTGAAGATGGCTCCAGCGAGTGGATAACGGTTGTGGCTTGTATTTGTTCGGATGGGAGCGCTTTGAGTCCAACGCTCATCTTTCAAGGAGCCAACGGAGCTGTTCAATCGAGCTGGGTTGACGCTGTACAAGCAGGAGAACACTCAGTATTTACTACGTCATCACCCTCCGGCTGGACCAACAACGATATTGGGTTAGCTTGGCTCAAACAGGTGTTTGACCGAGAAACTAGACGGCATGCTTCAACTGGGTATCGATTACTACTCCTTGACGGCCATGGATCCCACGTAACCATGGAGTTTATTGAGTATTGTAACGACAACAAGATCCTCTTGTTTGTATTACCCCCTCACGCTACTCATACGCTTCAACCCCTGGACGTTTGTATGTTCAAACCCCTTTCGAACGCTTACTCAACCCAGTTGATGGGATACCTCCAGGACAGCCAGGGGTTACTCAATTTGACCAAAGGAGACTTCTTCCCGCTCTTCTGGAGGGCTTGGGGTAACGTATTCAAACCTCCACTCATCAAGAAGTCGTTTGAAGCCACTGGTATATACCCAGCCAACCCGGACGTTGTACTCGAGAAGTTTGCCCAGCAAGCTTCAGACTCCGACAGCAGCAACTCAGTACTATCGGGGAGCGATTGGCTCAAGCTCAAATCAATCGTACGCCGTGAGGTGAAGGATCAGAGCAGTAAGGACGTCAAGAAGCTTCAACGAAGCTTGTGCCACATCTCAGCTCAAAACAGTATACTCCAAGAGGAGGTCAGAGGCCTCAGGCAGTCCCTAGCCATCAAGGAGAGGCGACCAAAGCAGAGCTACACCCTCCAGCTTGACGAGGACGAGGTTTACCATGGGGGAGCCAAACTGTGGTCGCCCAGGAGTGTACAACGAGCTCGCGATCGTCGGGCATCACAACAACAACAACAGGAGCTTGAAAAGCTTCAAAAAGCCAAGCAAGCCGAGATCAAGAAGGCAGCTCGCGATTGTGATCTTCAACTTAAAGCTTTGAAGCGTGTTGAGCGGGAGAAGGGTTGGGAGGAGACCAGAAAGCGGAAGGCTGCAGAGAAGGCCGAAAGAGACCTCAACAAGAGCCTCCGCGACGCCCAAAAAGCTATACAATTGCCCCCAAAGGGTAAGCGCAAAGCTTCAAAACCTCATAAGCCAGCTGCAAAGCGTCAGAAACGTGTTGGGGGTGGTACAGCCTCTGTAGGAGCCCGGGTAGTTGCACAGCCAGTTCCACCAAAAACCACCAAAACGCGGGTAATCCGCCGCCCAAAAAAAGATTTGGACTAGCGCAAAGTTTTCGCAGGCTATTATATAGTATAAATCTACTTTTGCGCAATTTTATCACGTTTTGTTGAGGCGTTATAGCTGCAATACTCATGAAGCTGTTGTGTTGTGGGTGGGGCGTTGACTGACCTGGGGCGTTGACTGACACGCTACTGTAGGCCTTAGCGCCCTAAAGTGGGACACCCCAAACAGCAACCATCTGCCAAACATTTGCTCTCTTTCTCACTCCAAGCCACCCGTCTAGATCCTCTGCTGCTTCCACCCCATCACCATGGCCGCCGACATCGCTACCCTCTCCCAGCTGCTCCAGGCCAGTTTGGACCCTCGGCAGAACAAGCAGGGTGAGTACCATTGTTTACCGCAGTGCTGCACGTCGTGTAGCCTGCACTTCTCGTGCAAGACGATATGCATACATTTCCATGCATATCCGACGCCAAAGCAGTTTGTCTTGCACATGCCGACATATGCGCATTTTGCCAGCTTGCCCCTCCGCCTCTCAACACTATTCAACACCACATGCTAACTTTTCAAAGCCGAAGAAGCAATCACCCAAGAGCAGACCAAGCCCGGCTTCTCCCTCACCCTCCTCCAGATCGTCGCCTCCGACGCAAATCCCCAAACCACACGCCTGTCCGCTGCGCTATACTTCAAAAACTTCATAAAGCGGAATTGGGTCGACGAGGATGGCAACTACAAACTGCCCGAGAGCGAGGTTGTGGCAATCAAGAGGGAACTCATAGGCCTCATGGTATCCGTACCCGCAAACCTACAAGCGCAATTGGGTGAAGCCATTAGCGCCATTGCCGACAGCGACTTCTGGCAGCGATGGGATACCCTGGTCGACGACCTGATTTCACGACTCACTCCCGACAACACAGTGGTCAACAACGGTGTATTACAAGTCGCGCACTCCATCTTCAAGCGCTGGCGCCCGCTGTTCCGATCCGACGACCTCTTCACCGAGATCAACCACGTCCTGTCCAAGTTCGGCACTCCCTTCCTCCAACTGCTCGAGAACACCGACACCCTCATCACAAACTCTCAAGGCAACCCACAGGTGCTCAAGAATGCTTTCACAACCTTAGACTTACTTATCAAGCTGTTCTACGATCTTTCTTGCCAGGACTTGCCTCCCGTCTTCGAAGACCACATCGCCATCATCTCAGGGCTTCTCCACAAGTACCTCGTCTTCGACAACCCCGCATTACACACCGACGATGACACCGAGTCAGGGCCACAGGAATATGTACGCGCGGGTATCTTCGAGGCGCTCATGCTTTACATCCAAAAGTACGAGGACGTATTTGGCTCCCAGCTTGGACAATTCATCGAGAGCACATGGAGTTTCCTCATGTCGGTTGGCCTCGAGACAAAGTACGATATCCTCGTCAGCAAGGCGTTACAGTTCCTCACGGCAGTCGCGTCTACGCAACACGCTGAGGCCTTCAACAATCAGTCCGTCTTGGTTCAGATTATCGAGAAGGTCATCTTGCCCAATCTCACTCTGCGCGAGTCCGACGTCGAGCTCTTCGAAGACGAGCCAATTGAGTTCATCAGGAGGGACTTGGAAGGATCCGATAACGACACTCGCCGTCGTGCTGCCACCAACTTCTTGCGTCAACTTATGACCCGCTTCGAGACCTTGGTCACAACTACCTCCCAAACGTATATCGATGCCTACCTCCAAAACTACGCTCAGGACAGCGAGAACAACTGGAAGTCAAAAGATACCGCAGTCTACCTTTTCACCGCCATTGCCGCCAAGGGAACCGCTACCGCTGGCCAAGGTGTTATGAGCGTTAACGAGAATGTCAACATTCTCGAGTTCTTCCAGACACACATTGCAGCTGACCTCCAGGCACAAAACGTATCACCCATCTTGAAGGTTGACGCTATCAAGTTTCTCTACGTCTTCCGCAGCCAGTTGTCGCCAGACCTCTGGCGGGCTGCGTTCCCTCTGCTCGTAAATCAGTTGGGCAACGACAATTACGTCATTCACACATACGCTGCTATTGCTGTGGAGCGTGCTCTGTACATGACAGACAGCAATCGACAGCCCATCATTCCCAAGGCAGACGTTGTCGGTTCATCGAAAGACTTATTGACACACCTGTTCAAGCTCATCACAAAGAGCTCCGCGCCGGAGAAGATCCAAGAGAACGAGTTCCTAATGAAGTGCGTCATGCGAGTACTCATCTTTATCCGTGACGGAGTTCTACCGATTTGCGAGACCATCCTACAGAGTTTCATCAACATCGTCAAGGTCATAAGGCACAACCCTAGCAATCCTCGCTTCCAGTACTACATGTTCGAGGGCATAGGAGCACTCGTTCGATTTTGCGCGCCGAAACATCCTCAGTTCTTCGAGGAAAAGCTCTACGAGCCGTTCGCTGCTTGCCTGCAAGCCAATGTCGAGGAGTTTTCCCCTTACATCTTCCAGCTCTTCTCTGCGCTGCTAGAAGCAAACCCTTCAAGTGGGTTGAGCGAATACTACAGGGGCCTGTTCGTTGTCATCATCCAGGGTGCTGTCTGGGAGCAACGTGGTAACGTACCAGCGCTAGCTCGTCTACTGAGTGCAATGGTCGCTCGCGACGCAGAAAACATCGTTGCAACCAAGCAACTGGAGCCCATCCTGGGTATTTTCCAGAAGCTTGTTACCAGCAAGGCGCACGAGACGTACTCCTTTGAGCTTATTGAAGCCGTTGTCGCACACATTCCAGCGAACGCGCTGCAACCCTACTTCTCTACAATTCTCCAGCTGATGCTGACAAGGCTGTCAAACATGAAGACTGAGAACTTCCAGCAGCGTTTCATCGCATTCTATCACTTCGTTTCGGCACGACTGGACAAGGGACTTGGCACAGACTTCTTCATCGAAGTTTCCGATCAGATCCAGAAAGAGTAAGTCATTTTCATGTTTCGGAAGCTATTGAAACGCTTGCTAATGTTATAACAGTATTTTCAAGCCTATCTACTTGACTGTCATCCTTCCAGACACACAGAAGCTCGCCCGCCCGACCGATCGCAAGACCGCTGTGGTGTCTTTTACAAAGACACTGGGCGATTCGCAAGCTTTTGTTGATCGTTACCCCAAGGGTTGGGCCCTTACGACACAGCGCCTGGTTGAGCTTCTCGTCAACCCGCCTGTACCCACGTCTGCAGACGACATCATTCCCGATGCTGATGTCGACGAGCTCGGTTTCGGCGTTGGTTTCACCCAGCTAAACACCTGCAAGAAGGCGCCGCGAGACCCCTTCCCGGAGATCACTAACGTGAAGGAGTGGGTGGGAAATTATTTGAAGGACGCTAACAGCCGTCACAATGGCCGTGTCGCCACGATTATGCAAGAGCGTTTGGACGACACTTCCAAACAGGTTCTTGCTGGTTACTTGGCCTAGAGCTGTATGTGCTTCGAGGAGTTGTTTAAGGGCATCGGAGAAGACAAATGCATCTGTCTGCATATGGGGTTGGGCGTGGAAAAACAGCCGAGCCGGCTTTTTAGGATTTAGGATATGATACCAGGTAGAAAAAGTGGTGGAGTTTTCAATAAGGAACAAAGCTGAATTCATTTTCGTGGAGCACACACATAGTGTGCATGATCAAATCACTGCATCTAATCAAGCTTCTTGCACCTCATAGCTCACCTTGGTGACACCCTTCTGTCTCTTGATATTCCTCACGACGATTTTCCCACACTCTTTCAGCTTCTGCACGTGCGTACCCCCACAAGGGTAACTTCCTTCGCTTCCTATCTCCACGACCCTGACCCCATCCTCTTCATCCCCTTTCAGAGTCTCCATGACCCCTGTACACTCTTTCTTCGCCTTTTCTTCGTCCCAAAAGTGAATCTTGACGTCCATGTCTGCAGCCACCATCTCGTCGACTCGAGCCTGTATCTCAGCCTTTTTGTCGCTTGGAATGAGACCCAAGAATTCTACAAAGGCTGCGCCAGGGTAATGGGATGCTTTTCCATCAACCACGTCCGGAGCTATTGAACCGGCAGCCCTGAGGTGGGCAGCTGCGAGACCGATTACGTGGCCTGCCGTGTGGATGCGGGAATGCAGACGACGTTTTTCTACATCGATGTTTTGTTCAGCGTCGACTTTTCCTTCGAACTGCTTTTCTGAAGGAGAAGAGAAGACTCCCATATGCAATATCGTAGGATCCACCTTTCGCACCTGATGCACGTGGAATGTTGTGGATCCTGCGGAAATGGTTCCAGTATCCGAGGGTTGGCCGCCGCCCTGAGCGTGGAATATTGTTGAAGGCGTTGTTAGGACGTAGGGTTCTGTTTCTGGTGGTGGCTTGAAGAGCGATTGGGTTTCTGGAGACAGAGATGATAGTGGATGGATTGAGGTTATGGGTGAGGTATGGTTGTATTTTTGGCCATCTTTTTGATAGAGCGGGTCTGTCCTTTGGGAAAGAGGGTCTGCCATTATGCTGAGAGGTCTCGAGATATGCGAGGTACTAATGATGATGAATCGTTTGTAGGTGTGCCGAGTTGTTGGTGGTCGATATGATGTTGTGCCGCGGAAAATAATTGCGAACGCTGAATATCTCAAAACTTTGCGGCACATGCAGCGGATGATATGCTCATATAATAGAAATGAAACGAGATTGAGTCACTTGCAATGACCAAAGTCGAAGTTGGAAAAGAACCTTCGAGATGATCAGAAGCGTAAAGTATGGATCGGAAATGCGCCCTTAGGGTTTACATGCACTTAACCGTTTTAGGCAGGTACGAATACCTGTTCTGACGTCTTCTCTTGTGTTGAATGAAGCAAAACGTATTGTCGTCGTAGACAACCATGCACACATAAGGAACTCTCCAGGACTTGGCACTTGCGTGTTCTTCGTCGCGAAGGTGCACAGGGGCAGAAAAGGCTACGTTGATGATGTTGCAAGAGGTAGCGCTAATAGTGCCTGCTTTCTTCCCCGATTTTGGGACCGTTTCTTCCAATTATCTAAGAAAGAGGTCGCTCTTATCGAGCTGTGTCTATGAAAACTCATTGAAATACCCTGAGAAAGAGTTGTTTGAGGCAAACCAAACCCAGTATTCTAGCTCCATCCAACCTTCCCAAATGACGTATTTATCGGACTCCTATCTGACTGCGGCAGCCTTGAAGCAACTGTCGGGATGCTGAGAAGCGGTCTTCGCACTGGTGGTACTTCCATCGGTCTACTTGTCCCAAACGCCCGGCGCTTTAGGAATGGCTCTTCCATTCCCCTTTTCCTCCATCTTTCCTGAACTAGGTTGAACTGCATTCCTGGTGGGAACTCGGGAGTTCGTGTGCGCCGATGTTTGTATGGTGACGAGCTGAAGATTTCGATGTGCTGCGGTACGCGTCGCCGCCGCTGGAACCTGCGTACAAGCCAGCATGAGAGAAGAAGGCCCAGAATGAAGAGACTGGCGCAGACAATATGCGGATGTCTATCGAATAATCCGAAAGATCCAAGAACAAGCCCGGTTTTTAGCTCGAGCCACACTAGAGATGCGAGAATAAGTGCACCGATGTTCTGTAATAACCAGCTTGTCATTTGTAACATTGCTATCATCAGTCGATGAAACTGCTCGCAGCTCCGAAGAAACAGCATTTTGAAAATGAGTTGAGGACAGTATATACTCCAAGTTGGAGCGATACCACACCGATATAAGGTAATTTCGCTCAATCAATAAGGCTTCCAACATTTCACTACTATCTTTGAGCTTGGTTTCACCAGATAGCATAGGTTACTCTAGTAGAGACGGTGATCTCACATGACTTCAGCTCTTAGCAGTGACGATCTGAGACAGCAACACAATCTGCATCTTTTCAGCTGCTGCACCGACTCAATAGGGTGACAAGCTTGGAAGATTGGGTTATAGCGGCTGCGATAGCATCAGAACTAGAAGCAGAGATGGGCAATGCGACGCTGAAACGAGTAAACACACTGTGTCCACATATCTATATTACTGCTCGCTGACACAGCGTCACCACAATGTCGCAAGCACAGATCAGTGTCCTACTCGGTCTCTTGATCGTTTCACATTTCCCTTTTGACCCATTTATCATCAGAATCCCTATACAAGCAAGCACTATATGGAGTCTCATCTTCGCGATCTGGAACCAATATCCATTGAGCATTTCTTCGCTGTTATGTTAGCACTAGCCGTCACGTTACTCGTTCTGCTCTGCATTATTGTCGTGAAGTACGAGATGCGTAATCGTTCATTTCTACGATCCCGGTTTCAAGCTGGGAAGCAGTCTTGGCTTGTTATAAGCTATGGAACATTATCACATACTTCACATGCAGATTCTGAGATTTCCATCGCTGGAAAGGCTGTTTGAGTCGTACATCATGACGTGCTCACCTCCATGAATGCTCTCAGCCGGACTACTCCTTTTATCCTTCTTCCTTGGAATGCTGCGCTGGCATTGCGTTGAAAAGAGTTGCGGTAACGAATCTCATTGTATCAGTCCGTCGTAAATATCCGAGTGAGTATGTACGGAATCGGTATCTCTTGTGCTCATCTTTATTGGTAGTTCTGAGTGGAAAAGCTCGCGTGTCCAAGGTATAGATAAACAATTGCAATGATAGGTCATACTTGCAATCTGCAACTCCAGTACGTGTGTCATGTGCTCAGTCCCACCCAGATGCGGAAGACGCACAAGGGAGATGTCAAATCGAGATGCGGTGTGTCGAGCTTGGTATGTCGCACTTTGTCGTGGAACTGTCTGTGTCCTTCTTCGTCACTAACGGTTTTGTCTGCGCGGATCTGGACCGTAAAAGGCCGTAGTGGAGTGAGTAGTCTGGGGCCTGCCTCGCTCTACCTCAGCACCTCCCATGCTCACATCCTCATCTCTCACTGCGAGACTGGCCACTCCTCCTGCTAGCGATTGGATACGCCCATATGGCGGTGGATTCATATTCCCCGCACCTGCCGTTGTACCGCCTTGAGCCGCTGTGTCTTTCTGTAACCCATCATGCTGCTGCTGAATGTACTGTACTGGTGGCCGCGAGTTCTTTGGAGGATCGAGCCCTCCGTATCGTTTCTTGAGCTCCTTAAGCCCAAGCTCAGTCTTGCCAACAATCTCTTCCTCTTCTTCAACAGCCTTTTCAAGTTGCTCCCATAGCTTTCCAACTAGTTCGTCCAGCTGTGAGATGCGGCTTCCGCTATGCTTTGGTATCCGCACGGGAAAGAACTCTTGCTGCGGTTGCGGCTTCTCGCCATGATATAGGGGAGCCCGGGGCGGACCCTCGACGTGGGTGTATAGACCGATGCCTGTTACGTATGGAGTTGTACCAGGCGGACAAGGGGTTTTGAAGGCGTCGATGAGATCGGCATTCATACGGGCTTTGCGAGCAGCTGCCTCTTCGGATGCGAGAGGCGTGAATTTCGCTGACGGTTCTTCTGATGTAGGGGCATCTGGGGCGCTTTGCTGGTGCGAGGCTGTTGGCGAATCGCTTTCGGATGCTATCATGGCAGCCCGATCGGAATGAATATGGGGTGAATTGACAATCTGTCGCATGTTATTATCTTTCCGGGCCCACTCTGTGTGTGATTCAGGAAGATATAGGTCATCAAAATCGATGAAGGAATTGTGTTGAGGCTCTGATAATCTGGTGTAACATATCGACCCCCGCAGCTTTTTGAATTGCTCCCAATCACGGGCGACTGGCTTCGCTGAGAAGGTGCAACTGTGATGTTTACACAGACACACTCACTGAGTGCAAATGAAAACGTACTTGCCTGTTATCTCTGCGCTCGACTGATGACCCTACCATAATTTCGTGGTGGAGAGCGACAACAACGCTCTACTATGCTCAGATGTCAGAGTCGCGTCGAGCTAATGTCGCGTCCCGAGAACTGTATCGATAGTGGCCGTCCAACTAGCCCCAATACGTCACAGCTCTATTTACTCCATCAATGCGTCATTACCAGATCATCATCGATCCGCTCCCGATCCGAACTCCACAACGTTCAGGAACGCGCCAAAACAAATAAGTGCTGACATCAGGATAAAATGGTATTGGTTACCGTGCCTCCCAGAAAGCGGCACGTCACTGCACGCCATTGCACGCCATGGTCTTAGATCTCTTAACCTAAGGGGATCGTTGCTGCTGTCCTGTGACCTATGTTGTAACCATGCAGTCTACAAAGTTATTTAGGAATGCTGTTTCCCTGCGTTGCTGCAAATCATCTTCCATAATCACAGCAACCCTACCACGTGCATTCATTACTCGGATTATTCCTACCACCTCTCGACCTTATTCGTCGACCCCGCCAAACAATACCGACCGCTTGAAGGGCCCAGTCGAAACTTCCTCAACTATGCAGGCAGTAAAAAACACCATTGCCGAGAATTTCGGTAAAGTCGTCTCAGGCGCCCATGGCCTCGCACCCGCAGACCAGCAGTTCTCCCTTGAGGAAGTGCCAGATCTCACTGGAAAGGTGGCCGTTGTAACTGGTGGTTCTGAAGGTATCGGCTATGGATGCACGCACACGCTTCTGTCGAACAATATCAAGAAGCTATTCATCATATCGTGGAGCGAAGACATCATTGAGGATGCGCTGAAGGCGATCAAGGAAGAGATGGGAGAGGACAAGGCCAGCAGAGTCGAATGGCTAAAGTGCGATCTCGCCGACTGGGAACAGACGGGCAAAACTGCGCTCGAGATTGCTCAGAAGACAGACAGGATCGACATCTTGATCAACAACGCTGCTCGCGGTATCATGACATACCAACTGGCCAAGAACGGTGTCGATCTACACATGGCTTCTAACCACTTCGGCCACGTCGTCCTGACTTCTCACTTGCTACCCTTGCTCAAATCCACCGCCGAGAAGGGCGACAAGGTCCGGATAGTACAGTTAGGGTCCAACGCACACGAGAACGCACCGAAAGACACCAAATTCGAGTCCATCGATGAGCTCAACACAGACCTTGGCCCAATGGCACAATACGGCCGCACAAAGCTCGCTACTATCCTGTACGCGCGCTATCTAGCCCGTCACCTATCATCTTCCCACCCCAACATCCTGTCCAATGCCACACACCCCGGTTTCGTCGAGACACGGCAGTCAGTCGACCACATCCACGAAGCCTATCCGCTCGGTGGCTATGCAATGAGTTACGGTCTCGCACCATTCAAGAAGACACAGTTTGAAGGCGCAGTGAGCACCATGTTTGCGGCGACCAAGACAGAGGGTACAGGCGAGTACATTTGCCCGCCCGCGATACGGGAGCCGGGTAGTGATCTGGCGAATAATGAGAAATTGGGCGAGCAGCTGATGGATTTCACATGGAAGGTTGTCAAGGAAAAGACGAAAAGTTCAAGCGCCGATAAAGGTTGCCCATTCAAGTTATATTAGAAGTGCACTTGCATAATACGTATAGGTCGTCTAATCGAACGATGTTAACCGATCAATGCACTTATACGACACCCATTACATGTGATGCTGCACTCCCAATAGTAGAGAACCTCGCGGCCGTAATTCGTTGCGTCTCATTTCAAACAACTATGGTATCGCTCGCTTGGCGCCTTGCAGACTAGATCCATAACCCATGACGATACCCCGGAACAATGCAGTAGAACTCACAACGCCTGACCCTGATGAGACCAAAGCTCATTAAGCAATCCCCTCCATACCCATTGGCACTTGGAATCCACTAAGACCCTCTCCAGCACTTGTCAACCTAGCGCAAAGGCTCAAGAAAACTACTGTCTCAGTGGCAGCGAGGTAGTTCAGCGTATCCAGCAAAATCTTAAGATGCCGGGTGAAGTTCTCCTCGTATTTAGCAAGCATGTCGAACATCTTGTCGACACGCTGAGGGTCGTACACAAACTGAGTCGAAGGCCGATGTGTTGAAGCGACTAGTGTAGCGGCGGGCAGCTTGGAGTTCTTGGAAGGGGGAGGAGCGAAGGACGCATTTACTTGAGCGACAAGGTCGGGGTCGCCGGTGACGAGGTAGCGGGAGAGGGAGTAGGTGAAGGATGCGAACATGCTGCATGTTGACATGATCTTGTTGTTGATCTGAAGGTTGTCAGTAATCGAATTCGCTACAAAGAAGTGCTTCTCAACTCACCCGAAGCAGTTTACTGTTAGTAAGCATGCATTCCTTTAGACAAGTCGCAAGGAAGTCCACATGGTCCTGCATCAGCTCATCTACAGTTCGCTTGACTTGCGGACCACCGCTCTCATCCTCTGTTGTCTTCCCTTTACCACGCACATCCTGTTTCTTCTCCTCACTTATCCGCGACATTAATGATGCCCAATTTGGTTCAATAACTTCTGACGTGCAGTAGTAGGTAAGCTGTTGGACAAAGACCAACATGCGCGCACGCAGTGTCCAAGCTCGGCGTTTCCACTGTTCTATCCGTGGGTTCTTTGATCGGTGTTTCCAGGCTGCGTTCTTGCCCTGTTCACCCCAGCACTTGGCCAGATCAGTCTCGAGATGCTTCAAGCTGAGTAGATATCGGAAGAGTAGTTGGTAACGAGTGAGGGTGACCCGGCTAACGACGAGTGATAGAGGGAATGGCATAGCGTAGTCAAATACCAGTGCTTGATAACCGGTAATGTTGGAGTCGTCGGTAATGGGCGCCGAGTTTGCAGGTGTATAATTGGACAGGGTAGCGGTGGCAGCGTCCTGGTCGAGACCTTGGACATTGACAATTTTCATTAGCCAATTCGTAAGGCCAGTATCGTTGATCTGAACTTTGATGTCCTCCTTGTATGGGTCCTCCACAGCAACTGATCCAGCATGTCGAGTTGCGAGATCAAGCAGTGATTGCAGCTTTCCGACGTTGACATGTTTTGCTGGTTTCTTGAGCTCAAGCTCGCTCATTTCGAGGAAGTAAGTAAAGAAGTCGGAGCGGTCGAGGAAGAAGTAGTGCTTGAGTGAACGTAATCGTGCCGGCAGTTGGTGTGTAGTGAGAAGCAAATTGAGGAGCGAGGAGTTTGCGTAGGCATAGGAGGAGTTGACGTTGTCTAGAAAGCGTGGATCGTCGAAGCTAGTTGGCGCGTCCTGCACGACTTTACTAACGTCGACGCCTCCACACTCTCGAACCACGTTGAGGTACTTTCCTGCTAGGAGCACCTTGTCTTTGACGGCTTCAAGCTGGGGAGGCACTAGGGCGTCGCGTATCGTGTATCTCTTCTCCCAATATTCGTCCGTGTAATCTTGATCCAGCCTTTCTCGCTTGATGCTTCTCTGCTCTTTGATCAGAAACTCGGAATGAGGGTCTTTGATGCCACCATGGTGCAGCCATTCGTTCAGCATAGCCATGTACGGTCTACTGGCTTCTCGCAACAGCGTGGTCAACAGTGCCCGAGCTGCAGGATCTCCTGACATTGAAGATAGTCGCTTAGTGATGAGGCCTAGGACGCTCCCGCCTTTGCAAAGCTTCTTGGTCGCGTTGCCTCCCTCGCGCAACGACTCGAGGATGTTTTCAAAGTCATTGCTGTCATCATCCGCTGAGTCCTCGTCCTTTTCGTCCTCGAGAATGCCGTTTGCTTTGAGCAGTTCGATTCCGGTGGTGTAGAGCTGGAAAAGCATGTGACTCGTCTGTTTGGTATGCAAGCTCAAGACATGGAGCGTGAAAGACTCGTTGGTCAGTAGCTGGTTCTCAAGCTGGGCGATGAGTATGAGGTAGTCCTTGAGCAAGCGCCGCACGGCAGCGCACAAGGCGTGGTTCACTGCACCGTACTCTTCCCGGCTCAACACCTCTACACAAGTCTCGACAGCGATGTAGTGTGTGGCCGTCTTCAGCATCGACTTGGTCAGGTCCCTCAGGCTAGGATCCAAGCCAGGCATCAGGCGAAACTGTGGCCCAACCAAACGCTCCTTCTCTTCGTGGGGGTTGTAGCCATCGCCGAAGCGAATGTACTGCCCTTCGAAGCCCATGAAAACAAACAGCAAGTCTTCCAGTATAGCCTTCTCTTGTGCCTCGAGCGACAGTTTTGCGAGCGGCGTGGGTTGCAGCGATACGGGAGCGGTGGATGCGAGCGGCGGTATCGAGATGCGCGTGGCCAGCGGGGCGGTCGTGTGTGGTATCAAGGAAGCCTGGGGCTCCCATGGCGGCTGGGGCTCTTCTGGTATCGACTTTTGCGAGGCCGCGCTGCGTGACGGTCTCTCGACATCTCGCGCTTGTTTCTCCGAGCGGCTTCGAGCATGGACTCGACTCTCGCTGGCATGCTTCAACGGGCTCTTGGTCCGCCTAACCTCCGTCTCCCGCTCGCGCACCTCCTTCTTCTCGACGCGACGCTCGCCTGAGGTTGCGCCTGCGGGGCGCATGGGAGCCGACTGTTTCCTGGCATGTGATGCTGTGGTAGAGCTGCGTCGGTCGAGGTCCTCTCCAGAAGCGACGCGGGGTCGCGCACTCGACGTGTAATTGGCATTGACAGAGCGGCGATCAGCGCTGGACAAGGACTTCATAGTCGGCACGGTGCGGGAGGACATGTTGGCGGGCAAGGCACTCCATGGAGCCTGGGGCACTTTTGTCTTGCTTGTCGCTGCGCCGAATCGATGTTTGGGCTGCAGTAGCCGTGTTGATCGGGTCCCGCTCCACTACGCGTCGACTCGCGCTAGCCACTAAACGACCATGACGCAGCTTCTGCCTGGATACATGTGCCAGACCTCTCGCTCACATTGGAATTCACTATCTAATCATCCTATCAGCTGTTAACTCAATCATTTTCAGTTCAGTTGTACGATGATCTCCGTTGGATAAAGCTATATGCGTGCTGTTGCTGATAGCAAAAGCGATTTGAGATAGATAGATGATAGGTATACCCAAGCGCCATTTCCGCGTCTGTACCCAGGTCCCTCTGGTGAACGCCAAAAATGCAAAAATGCAAAAAAAAACAAAAAAAACACGGAATCTAAACTTCATATCTTCCTCGCCCTTGCCCAGTGACTTCATTGCCGAACAGCCGACCGGCGTCAACACAATACCGAGCCTCTCCTTGTCCGTCTCTTCCTACTTCACTTCCCCAGCAAACAAGTACTGCGTCTAGGATATTTCCAAGGACTCCTTCCATGGCACCTAGAGCGCCCCAACCAATCGCTGCGCTGATGATGCCGACGACATATGCGTATAGACTGCCCTTGTACGGTACCGTGTCGTTGCCGATCTGGAGCATGCGTGCAGTAGAAACCCAGCCTCCAAACCCGAGAGACAATGTTATCACCCAGCGAATAGCGTGCAGAAGGAGTTTTGCAAGGCGGTATGACTGTATAGACGGTCGCCCATGATCTTTGAACGAGCTTGGGCCGAGGGTCGTAGTTGGCGATGCGGCGGAAATAAAGTTCAATTGCGATAAGCCACGCGCGGCTTGATTGAGAGGTAGACCGTGAATGGATGCGAAGGTCAGGGTGAGTGGATTTGTCAGCGCCGCGATGGGTGTTGGTACGATAGAATATGCGCACATGCCGATCATCCCCGCGAGTCGCCTGGGAAGAACGATAAGTGGTAGGCGAACCATGAGTGAAATAAGCGTGGACATGCAGATCGTCCCAGCCATGGTGTATGTCGCATGACTGAGAGAGGCTTGGACTACCGTTCTCGCAGCAGGTGCGGGGACGCTGTTACGATGGAAGTACCACTGAGATACTGTAGCTGCTGTTGTAGCACGTTGTACACCCGAAATGACTGCCAACGTCCAGAAGTAATCCAGGAAGAACGCAATTCCCAGCCACCACGTGCTGGTGTCGATGATCCACCGGGATTTGTTGCTAGCAAAGTGGCCACCCAGGAAAAGACGTGTGAACATGAGAATCCATATCCAAGACCACAGGATCACAGCAGCCAATGCCGCAATACCCACGAGCAACAGTGGAAACTGCGCTCTCAGGATTTCACTGGAGAATTCCAGCATGCCGGTAGCTTTGTCTAAGGAATGTCGCGCCTTGAAGACGGTGTACACCCAGAATCCCGCGAAGCATAGAGGTCCAAACGAGAGCCAACGCATCAGCCGATCTTGCACGCTATCACCATGCCATGACCCTTTAAAGCTTGACACAAAAGGGTAGAAAAAGAAGGAAATCGATACGACGGGTATTGCCAGTAGCATCAGTTGCACCAGAGGCCGAGCGAAGGACCGAAGTAGCGAGAGCCATAGGACTCCGACTATGACCGAAACCAACGAGTATACTCCGATGAGGTGAAAAGACGAATGTAAGACGGTATATATCGTGTCGCCCAACGGATTCTTCTTGTTTGGGGGCGACTCTTGTAGCAGAGAGATGAACCAAGTGCCAAAGATGGCACATTGCACGATTATGAACAGCTCAGCCCAGAAAAAGTTATGTCGTGGCGCTGACGTTGGGTTCTCTGGTACAACATCGGGCACGGTCTGGCGATCTGGGCTTATCGGCCGTGGATGTTCTAGCAAGGTATCCTCATCGGTTTCCTGTGGTATTGGTAGG